TTCCTACTGCTGATATTGATGCTTCTGCTGCCTGCTCACCTAGACAACAGCGCTCTTTTATATCTTTTCAGGTTAAAGCAGAATAATGTGCAACCAAGTGGTACTCCATTATGACGACTGGGTTTGGGAAGAACGTTTATTTCATGAAAACAGTGATAAAATTATCACTTTTTATTTATACATTGGACCATGCTTGACATTACCACTTTTCCAATAAGTTCTTGTTAAAAATTATCAGTCGGAAGCATTGCTATTGATGCGTAGACATATTTCTGATCGAATGGTGATAAAATTATTGAAATTGGTCCAGGGGCAGCTGAGTTATTAACTTCCAAAATCTTTCATAATTTTGTTACATGTTCCATTTTATGTTTTCATAAAGTGTACCCCCATATAGAAATCACAGACGTAGTCCTACGTCAAAAATTGTATATCCTAATTTTTCTTGAAGATAACGGACTTGAAACAAATGCACTCTGGCCATTCTATTTAAAAATTCAAAAACCTTATTTTTCGGTTTTTTTTTTCTTTCAGTTGTCTAACCTAGATTTCCCAGTTTAATTGAAACAGTTAAATATGGTAAAATATACCAAGTACCACCACAATCACAAGTTTTATCGCATGATAAAACCCAAATCCTTACTTGAAGCATAGATTATTATTTCGCTTAGCTAAAGAATACAGTATGTAATATGTAGTAAGGTCAAAATATGTTATTCTCAATTTGGGATTGGAATTGAAAAGAGAAAGGCAAGGAATTTCTAATGATGATTTTTGAAATCAGTGTTGGCAAAATCAGAAATCAATTGATATTTTTCCGCTCTCATGCGCTCGCAATATCACGTGTGATATTGGAACAAAATATCATGCTTGATATTGATTTCACAAGCTCCTTTGATATTGCGAGACTATTCACAACGTGCAAATATCAAGCTGAGAGTTGACTCGACACAAAAATGATTCCACTGCACATCGTTTTCTTAGAAAAAGAAAGTATTGTTTGCTATCTCTTTATAATCTTCATCGATGGCAGACGCGAGGGACTGCTGCAAGCCGTTATGGAAGTTTCGGTTGCATTCGGGTGTAAAGCAAAAATCATGAAACTCAATCTCACCACAGTTTGGTGAGATTTGCAGTTGGTGACTTTTGTTCGCTTGATATTCCGAACTGCGATATCACAGCTTGTAAAATCAACCGTGGGCGTTGGTGAGATTTGATTTTTTGATATTTTCCCAACACTGTTTGAAATAGGTGGGCGTTGGCCAAATTTGGATTTTTCAGATATAATCCTAAATAGGACCTAGATTATTTAATACTCTAGTAACCTCAAGTCCGTGCTCTGTCACAATGTTTCATTGTGATTAATCAACACTCAAAGGGGTAAAATATCAAATTTAGGGTGAATTTGAAAGAAAGGGAACTTGGAGTGTAGAGCGCACTGCCCACTGGACGATTCTGAAGCCTGGCCAAGTGAGTGGGGTATGGGTTTATTTGATTGAACGTCATTTCCAATGTATATATTGATACATTCAAACCATTGGCATTTGAGATAAGACAGAGATAAGATGCGGAGGGCCCGCTTAGGGGAAGCGTAACCCATGTTATGGTTTCCATTTATTAAATAGTTCAGATAGGCTGGAAATGACAGGTTCATAGTGAGAAAATGTACCATATGGGGCCCGTTCACTGATCAAAATCAGATTCACATCGTCAGACCCTGCCCAAGAATAAGGGGATTGACGATGTCTTGTCAAGTTTTATTTTGAATTTGCGTTTTGCATTTAATACTCTAGTAAATCTCGCGTCCGTGCTCATTCACAACAGTGTGAGGTGTCAATGCTCACTGGGTCATATGTCTTAGACCAGTTCCAGATTAGTTTGCTATTAATATCTTCTGCATCGCAGTTCGCGATAGATTCCTAAATATGGGTTCTCTTTTCCGACCATAATAGTGTGAGGGAAGGGGGTGAGTTCTGGATCAACAGTGGAAGGGGGCCCATCGGTTTTTGTGGGCAGGCCGTCCAAAGCCCATTCCTCACAGATCGGGGGCTGCTCACGCAGACCAACACCATCTTCGTGTAGGTGGAAGTTTTCCCTATCCGATGATGGTGTTGGTTTGCGTGGGTGGCCTTCGCTTTGTGAGTGGGGGGCTTTGGAGCGGTTTGTTTACAAATGCTGATGGGCCCTTTTCTATTGTTGATCCAGAGTTAAACGTTCGATATGAGAGCGACTAGGGCAAATAAATAGGGAAGACAACACCATGACCCAAATAAGTAACCAATGCATGCGGCTCACACTTAACTTGTTCTATTTCTTTCTTTCTTCCTATCATGTACTAATATTAACTGCCTGAGGACAAATGGGAACACGACCAGAAACCAGAAACGAACAAGAAAAGAAGAATTAAACTTGCACCGGCAAGAGGAAGCAGACAGAAAGGATCATGCCGGTTGGAGACAGCCAATGTATACTGGACGAAGCTTGTATCTAGGAAAAGTTGTATGTGCAGGAAACCGTAAGTAGGATAAGAATCGTAAAAGGTGTGTGCTTGCTTGATAAGATCCTAACTTTACTTTAAATACACGGTAGGAATCGAATATCCATTTATGATTAAGGTTTTGCCCATTTTTCAGTGGGAGTGGCAATACTCATTGATGAGTGATTTATCGTACCCATTTATTAGTAACTGTTTGCAGCTAATGATTAATTGATTTACCTATACTTCACATCAGAACCTCATTTCCTTCAATTACTACTCCGTCGCAGCACACACCTTATATGGATCGCTAACCTTTATTTAGTTTCAGCATTTTCGACATTATAATCAAAAGGTGAGTTTTAAAAGTATAATTACCATGCATATAGATAAGTTAATGTACCAGAACCTGGACGGACACGAGCCTACCCAGGGGAGGACCCGGATACGACCACCCATGTGTGTCTAGAGTATCGCACGAGCTGACGAGTGCAACGGGAAGGACAGTAGGTGTATAGACTAGGGGGTTGGTCCCTAGATAAGCCTTCTTAGCGGAAGGCACAGCCTATGCACTGAACAATTACAATTACAATTACAATTACAATTTTCCCAACACTGTTTGAAATAATCTTAAAAGAACCTTTACTCATGATTTTGGAGTGAGAGGTATGGATTCAGATCTTTATGTTTTACATACTAGCTTCGGTATTCAAAGATGTCTTAATCTTGGTATCTGGTTAGCACAAAGTGCAGAAATTAATGTTTAATTTATCTCTATGTCCGGTGTCGAACATTTCCATGCCAAGCATAATCGGAGTTCGCAAGGAATTTGAGACGGCATGAATCTGCTTCTCTATCTTGAAGTAGCTTCGTAACAGGATATGTCTCGCTCTGCCTTTATCCTAGAACTGCTTCACTCGGAAAACTGTAGCAAAATAATTCAAGCAATGACACCATATGCATTCAAATGACCCATATGTAAGCTATCCTAGTAGGAATAAGAACAAAATCACCGCTTGATCCGGGAGCGAACAGATTGCGAGTAAGAGAAATGAATGTTGTTAGCAAGAGAATATAATGATGTTTGTGCTATAAAGTTGATTGATTCCAAGTAACATTACAAGTTTTAAAGGTTTTTCAAGGATTCTTCAAGACCAAATTATGACCTACAAGACTAATATAAAATCAAAATTGTTACTTGGGATGAGTTCCAGTAATAGTGGTGTACCTATAGTTGAGGTATGGAGTTGTGCCGGAATAGTGAGGAGGACCCGGGTATGATTATTTTTCATCGGTATTTCTCCTAAAATAAAACATATTTGCACATTTCAATCTTAAAATATGCCCAAAAGTGACGGAAAATAATTAATTTTCCTTAAGATTTTCAGTCCTTTGCACCTATAGTTGCGGTAGCGTTCCTATAATACCTAGTGGAACCCATAAGCTATGGAAAATCATGGACGAGAACGGCTTTCCTGGGAAGCTGATCAGACTGATGAAAGCAACGATAGACGGTGGGCAAAACTGCGTAAGGGTTTCAGGTGAACTATCCAGTTCATTCGAATCTCGCCGGGGACTGCGACAAGGTGACGGACTCTCATGCCTACTTTTCAACATCGCTCTAGAAGGTGTAATGCGACGAGCCGGGCTCAACAGCCGGGGTACGATTTTCACGAAATCCGGTCAATTGGTGTGCTTTGCGGACGACATGGACATTATCGCAAGAACATTTGAAAGGGTGGAAGAACTATACACCCGCCTGAAACACGAAGCAGCAAAGGTCGGACTGGTGGTGAGTGCGTCAAAATCAAAGTACATGCTAGTAGGCGGAACCGAACATGACAGAATTCGTCTAAGAAGTAATGTCACGATAGACGGGGATACTTTCGAGGTAGTGGAGGAATTCGTTTACCTTGGGTCCTTACTGACGGCTGACAACAATGTGAGTCGTGAAATACGAATGCGCATCATCAGAGGAAGTCGTGCCTTCTACGGGCTCCAGAAGAAACTACGGTCAAATAAGATTCACCCCCGCACCAAATGTACCATGATGATTTCGGCGTTAACAGGTAAATTATGCTTTTGGTACGATACTTTAGTTCAAATGCTACCGAACGAAGTCAATAAGAACACGTGACATGAATGCACCCAATATTCTCAAAAACATATGAAGCGCTCCGACCGAATCAATCTTTATCTTCATCCGATAGGCCGAAGTGAATTCATTGGCGTTTCAATCGTTAGGCCAAGTTTAGAATCCGTACGCCGAGTTTGGCGTCAAGAAGCAGTGTTAGACTTTTAACAATATCTCAACAATTTGTTTCTCTTTATCAAATTTTACGGTAAGGTAAATAATCTGGAAGCCATCCATCACTAATAATAACATTCCGTTTGGTACTAAACTACGCAAGATTCAGAAAGACTAAGTGCGGGTTGTGCCGAATAGGCCGGAAATTGCGTAGTTAACCCTACCCTGCGTCAAATATGGTACCTCCACGGTAGAACAACCAAATCATTTTCTTACCTGATAGAACAGATACACATTGTTGAACAACCGCCTGATGTCGGCAATGAACGACGCAACGTCAGTGTAGTGTTCGGGATTGGTCATCTCCAGCTTGTCCCGGATCATTATTAGTGAGATGGGGCTAAAATTGTGAAGACCATTTGTCAATCAAAGCTGTGCAAGTCAAACGCAAGAGAGAAAAAAAACCAGCAAACTTACTTGCACACAATGTCGTAGTATGGTTTGTTCAATTCCGGCTCCAGATGCCGGAACGGCATACTCGTTTCGTACTGACAGAACAGTTCCAGTATAATCCTCTGCAGGATTTTCAATTCCAGCGGGGTGATTCCTATGTTTCGCTTCTCGCCCGTCGGTTCTGAAATTTGAATTTGAAGGTCGTCGTCGTCGGTTAAAAGTGTATCCCGTTTGAAACTGGTCGGGGTGATCCTACCTGGCGGCAAGTCGGCAAAATTGTAGCACAGCAAACATTGCCAGGTTTCGCTCTCGTCCGGCAGACTATCGATCACCGGTATGTGACACGTCTGGTGGAACACTTTGGGACACTTATCACAGCACATCAACTCGCCTCCGTCCATACACACCGCACACCAATCCTCGTTCGGATCCAACTCCTTCGGGAGACTCTTGTCGTCCACGAGGACACTGGCACCGGCGCCCGCTACCAATCCACTGGTGTTGAGATCCGTCGAGCTGTGCACCTGAGGGGAAGTGGTTTTACCCCGGTGACCCTCCGGTAGCACCTGTACACCGTTCGAATCCAGCTTGGCGATCGTGGCCATCAGATCGTTCACCGAATCTTCGCACGTTTTGTCAATCGATTCGGCAAAATCCTTTCCGGGCTGTAATGGAATCGGAATTTCGTTGTTTGAAATGTAGTGGAGTGAGGGGAAAGGGGAAACTAAACCAACCTCATTCGTACTCGGCGACGGGGTCTTCGGATTGGTGGAACTAACATTGGGAAGCGCATTCTGTAGCTGTTGGAGGTGATGGTTTGCCTGTTGTTGTTGTTGTTGCTGTTGTTGTTGATGTTGTTGCTGCTGCTGCTGCTGCTGTTGTTGTTGTTGCTGCTGCTGTTGTTGTTGCTGTTGTTGCTGTTGATGTTGCTGTTGTTGTTGTTGGAGATGATGCACCATTTGGCTTGGACTTCCAGGGACACCAGGACCAGCGTTGCCACCGTTTATCATCATCGAATTACGCATTGTGTCCGGGGATTTCAGGGGAATCTTAAACGATTCATTCGGTCCGTTACCGAAAAGATGCAGACCTGATGGGCCCCCGAATCCTGCAAGGAAAAGGTAGATTGTGAAGTTTGAGGTTGAAGAAGGAGGAGTGTGTGATAATACCATTATTTTGCTGGCCCTGCATGTTTTGGGGAATGTGCCATTTGGCTCCGCCTCCAGCAGCGCCTCCTCCGGCAGTGCTCCCACTGGGATGCTGCGGTTGCATTTGACCGGGCTGTGGTGAGTTGGGATTGTAGCCTGGTGGAGTCTGCTGACCAGGATAGCGCATCGCTGCTTGTTGCTTTGGTGTAAGGAGAGTAGAGGTATTCTTTGGTTAAAATTAAAAGGTAGAGATCAGTCTTTTTGAACAGTCGGAGATATAGAATGAAAGGACCATTCAATTAGGATACTTACGTTTCCCATCATGTGTCGCATGGCAGCCGGAGGCATCGCGAATCTTTGGAAGTTCTGGAAGCGTGGATTGTTACCGCCCATACCCATGCCGTTACTGTTTGGGCCGGGTTGACCTTGATTGAAGTTTTGGTGGCCTCCTGCGCCGAGGTAGCCCGGAGGTGCACCACCCATCTGGGCAGCCATCCGATGCTGGGCAGGACCTCCGGAGCCCGGCGGAACACTACCCATGAAGTTAGCTGTGTTAAATTGATTATTAACATTAGCATTGCCACCCGAACTCGGAGCGTTGTTGGGCGAACAGCGGCTCGGTCCGCTCGGTTTTTGATGACTCAAAAGATTACGTAAATCTAGAGGTTTAGCGATATGAAGGCATATACACCGGGAGCGGGGGGATAGGGCAAGGAGGGAGAAAAGAAAACATGAACAAAAACAATGTTACGATAACGAAATGGTTATAGACCTCAACCGAAGATGATGAGCATGAGAAACGAAACCAGAACCACAACCAAATCCAGAGGTTAGCTGAGGATCCGACCGACTCACCCATATTCTGCGGATGTGTTGAGGAACTGACATGCTGTTGGGGTGGCATCCCGTGCGGTGGTCCCATAGGAAACCGACCGAAAGCACCTCCGGGGCCATTTTCCTGAGCAAACGTTCGTCCCATCGGATGACTCGGAGGGAATGGACCTCCCACTGAGACCCCTCCGTTGCCATTGTACATAGGTGGCACATTGGGGAAGCCACCGGGACCGTTGGCATTGTTAGAAGAAAGTGTTGTCATACCCGGACCGGGCATTCCCGGTCGCAGCGGAGGTGTAATGTTGGGGCTTGGCTGTTTGGAACGGTTCTGAACTGCTCCGGGACCTTGTGGACCGGCATTGCCTGCCGGTCCCGGAGGTGGTGGGTAGACTTTGCCGTCTACGAGAATGGTACCGATGCGAGCGATGACTGTTGAGGGAATAAGAAATGTTATCAATCCAAAAGATTGAGTTCATTAAGAACAATTCGTCCACCTACCATTCTGTAGTTCAGGAACATTCGATAGGAATAACTGCACTCGAACGGGTATTTCCGGGTTGGGAATATCCGCCCGCTGGCATTTCACCTTCTGCAAATGCCTCGCCAGTGTCTTTTTACTATACAAAACTGCACTGTCGCTGCCCTTTTCCAGGGCACACTGCACAAATTCTATGCAATGATCCGTGTGTCCCGACAGCAGTTGAAGCGCTTCCTTCTTCTCGTTCAATACTTGCAGCTTTGTGTCGCATACCTGGAATTGAAATACATACGTTAAATATAGTGTTTCATCCATCTTCCACCAAGAACCCACCTGATTTAATCGGTAAACCAGCTGCTTGCCCCGCATGTTGACCGCATTGGTCAGCTTCACCACCAGATCGGCAATCTCTTTGGACAGTTCCTTCTTCTTCTCCGTTATCAACGCCTGCCGATCGTCGATCACCTTCATCGCACTGGACAGCAGCACCTTCTTGTAGCTGATCTCGCTGAGCAGGGCCTGCAGGGAATTCCGCGTTTCACTTGCAATCTCGTTGGCGAATTTGTACTTGTGATCCCGGTGATCCACCAGCTGGCAATCGCGACACGTCAACCGATCGCATGTTTCGCAGTAGAGGGACAATTTTTCCTGGAAATAAAAAAAATAAGAAGAGAGCATAGTTACATTGGTTGCCAAATTTCACAAACAGGAGAAATGATGCGCTCCAACGCATGTCAACCGCGTGCAACCAAACCGAAAACGGCATGAAGGCGGAACAAGGAAGGGGTGGTTGCAATGTGGTTTTCTGGATTCCTATATTGTGAAAAGCCACACAAGTTTGCCCGGGCGAAAAACCGCTGAAACCGCGCTGTCATTTGCCCTCCTCCTGGCTGTGGTGATGCTGACGGATCCGACTATTGGTCGAAGGGGTGCAACCAACCACCTTATGGAACCGAGTGTGAGCGAGTGATACGGCTATGGCAGAGGAATGAGTAGGACATTTGGTTTCGCATAAAATATGATTGTAATTTTTTGCAGTTTTTTTTTTTTTATTTTTTTTTCCTGCCCCGCTTGCGCTTCATTGGCTGCGGTTTGTGTACGTATGGTATTTCAGTTTTATTTGGATATTCTTGTTGTGGCATTTACATTCTGTTGCATTAGTATTTTGACTAACACGATGAGTTTCAATTTTCTAATCATTTATCATGCTGAAGGTCAATTAAATCCTTTTGAGAATAATCATTCACGTTAAAGTCAGTAAAATGCTACAAATCCCTTTCTAAACAATAAAGGTCTAGATGCACATTGCACATGGCCCAATCTGCATTGATCGATTATGTAAATAGGTTTTTCTCTTGGTATAATGTCGACCATCCAAAAAACGGCTCGGGCTATTTTAGCCGGTATCTAGCAAACAACGATAAAGCACAGCAGGGATGTTTAAGCAGCTAAGCTAATAACGAAAGAGAAAGCCGATAAAGAGAATGGATAAAAGCAAATTAGACCTTTGAACATGTTCATTAGGAAATCTCGTGGCTTGCTATGCAAATAAATCCAGACGTACATAGCTAAAGGTTATGAACCGTTTGGCCGAATACCGTTTGGTCAAACAAGTGTGGCCGAAGATTATTCGGTCGAAACAAAAAGCGTTTAGTTACAATATAGGGTTCACCCCGTTTGGCATAATGCCGTTTGACATAATAGTCGTTTGGCATAATTGTCGTTTGGCATGATCCTTGGTACTTGAAGCTGTTGGATAAAAGGGTTGGGATTGCAGCAGGATTCGTTTTGGTAAACGATAAGCTGAATTGATGTCCTAACGATTCAATATCGCGAAGGACCTTGGGTTTGAATCAACGGTCTTCTGCTCAGTAAGCAAAATCGATCGCCACTAGGCCACCGAGCTCCTTATATACAAAACAATTACGATCAAGATACCGTTCAACTTGCAGGGCTGGTAGTGCTGATGCGATATAATAGTAGTGACTTTAGTGACTAAAATTACGGAAATAGTGACCAAATAGTGACTTGTAAATACTAAATAAGTAACCATTTATATGGTAACTTAGAAATTCAAATACGGTTTGATATTGAAATAAACTTTTTATGTTATGGAACTTAAAATCAAATTTCATAAATTCCTCTAATTTAATCGAATTACACAACGGAATCTCTTGCTTACGTTATACATTATTACTAGCACATATTAATTCCCATTTTTATGATCTTGAATTTGATTCTGCGTTCGAAACCTGTAAATATTTGATATATCTAGGTAGATAACTTTGATAATTTTCTATGAGCTTTTCACAGAATTTCATCAAAATGATGAAACTTTTTTAGAATAATTCCACTTCTCTTAAACTTGGAAGCAAATAAGCTATTACAAACATAACATTGCATTCTTGAAATTATTTGCAGAACAATCAACAAAATTCTTGGAAATAGATTATTTTCGTAGTTCGAAATGCTTAACATCAAATATCAGAATTAAATTTGACATTTTATACGATAGATGAGGAGATGAAAGTAAATAGGTTATAGTTCCGTTATATTGTGGCAGTGTGAAATTTGTATATAGAAAGTAGAAAGTGAACAAAGGACAATTTTGTTGATATTCTTAAATTTCACTCTATTGTAGTAGTGAAAAGGTGACTTAAGTGACTATTTTTAGGGAAATAGTGACTTTTTGGTGTAAAAAGTGACTTTTTAGTGACTGGCTTCAAAATAGTGACCAAGTCACTAAAAAATGACCTGCTACCAGCCCTGAACTTGTTGTTACTAGATTTCGATCCCGGTGGGTTGAAAAATCTCTGGGGAGAATCACCCGGTTGCGAGAGATATCATTCTCTGGGGTGAATCTCTGCTTGTCTCCTCGGAGATTTATCCTGGCACCACTGGAGAGATTGTTAGACACAGCACGAGAGAGTGTGAGAGTTGACTGTTCGCTGTTTGTCTGTTTATACACTCACTTCCGTGAGAAAGATGGCAGCGCAAAGGTGTTATTATTTCCCCAAATATTCCGGCAGAACTTTAGGTGAGTGAGTGAAAACATCAACGTATACAGTCTTCTGACAGGCATATTAGACGTGGCTGTTGAAGTTTAGCCGGTCATCGATCATCACTCCCAAGCGAGCTCCCAGATATTCAAAACAAGCTTTGAGGTTATGGCGTGCTCCTGACGGTGATATCTGCCCGCTGTACCGAATTACAGTTACTGGCCAATAGCACTTCCGTTTTGTGGTGGGCTATCTGCAGCTTCGCTCCTTGCATTCAGTTACCAATCATGTCGATCGCCTCGGTCGCTAACACTTCCACCTCTCGCCTGTTACCATCAAAAAGACATCGTCCGCAAATCCAACGGTCTCAACTCATTTGGGCAGCTTCAGTGTTAGCACGCCGTTGTACATCCCTTTCCAGAGCGTTGGACCAAGGATGGAGCCTTGTGGAACTCCCGCTGTGATCCTAATCGATCTCTGTCCCATGTCTGTCTGTCGACTAAACTGAATCAAATTTCAATAATGATGCGCTGATGCACTTCCCGTATTCGCACTACGAACTATTTAATATTCATGCAACTAACCTTTCGAACGTTGGTTGAAGTTGCTACTCAGTGTAGACAGGAGAATTCACTTCCAATTTATGACCATCAGGGCTTGTAGCAATCTTTGCTGTTAAAAATAGTGATTATAGTGACCATGTTGATGAAATAAGTGACCAAATAGTGACTTATAGTTGTAAAAATAGTGACTAAAAAGTGACCTAAGAGAAGAAAAGTAGTCGTTATGATGGCACACCAAATAAATGTTTGATGTTTTAGACTTATTCAACTAGTATCTCATGAACACTTATGTACGATATGAACCTTTGAAGTGAAAGATTCAATAGAAAGTTTATGGTCTACTAAATGCAAAAACCTGGAAAACCGGAAGTCTCGTTTTGTCTCGTTATTTTCATTCACACTTTGAACTTTATAGATGCACAGTGGATTAATCTTCAGTAATGCGACGAGGATCGGTAGCTCAGTGGTTACCGTTTCTGCTTACTGAGCAGAAGGTCGGGAGTTCAATCCCAGGCCCGTCCCCCTTCCTTGCAATGTTTCACTTTGCCTTATTCTATACCCACTAGATTTTAATGAAAACAAATTCTTCTTTAACACCGATCGCATCACTTATCACAGTGTGGGTCCTGATCTAAAAATAGAAATTGGATGAGTGCGCGCGCGTGTGTGTGTGTGTGTGTGTGTGTGTGTGTGTGTGTGTGTGTGTGTGTGTGTGTGTGTGTGTGTGTGTGTGTGTGTGTGTGTGTGTGTGTGTGTGTATGTGTGTGTGTGTGTGTGTGTGTGTGTGTGTTTGTGGTATCATAATCGCTCTACCAAAAACGATCCCTGCGTGTGCGTGCAACCTTTCCCCCACATCCAACATCCCAGTGATTTCCCTAATAAAAATTGTATGGTTAATTTGCTTAACGACGTGTTCTGGGTATCATCCAAACCATTTGTGGAATAGTTCAATGATTTGGGTTATCGTTCGTTTATCGTTATTTTTTATTAGGGTTCTCGTGCAAGCGCAGAGGATTTCTCGGTTTCCTCCACAGCGAGTACCACGTCAACACATTCCTTCCCATTCCCTAGTTGACCTGCATTCGGACACGGCCGGCGCTGGTATTGCTTAATATTAGATCTCCAGTTCTTACACATTGAGGATGAATGTTAGTCCCAAACATCATCTGTTGGTTCTCTGTGTAATTGCAGCTGATCTGGTAATAACAGAGCAGCAACCGTGGACGGTCAATCATGCTGCTCATGCTGCACAGTGGATTAATCTTCGGTAATAATATAAATAAAAAAAAACAGAGACTTGAGATGTTTTTTTTTTGGTTTTGGAACACGCATATTTCCTAGAAATTTTAAATTTGAACTAATTCTGGATTTAAAAGCAATGATACTTTAAAAAAAAAATTCAAGAATCTGTAGTCAAATTCCACGCACAGTTTTAAAGGCTTGTGGAGTTTTATTATAATTTCTAATGACCTCATTCCAAGGGAGTTCTGAAGGAAAAAAAAATTGGACAAAAACATCAAGTGCAATCTGCTTGCAAGGTAGTTCTGAGGAATTTTAGATTTCAATTGAAGCCTCATAGTTTTGCGAATTTCAAGGTAATTCCAAGGAAAACTAAAAGAAAATTAAATTCGGAGGATAGCTTCATCAAAATATTTTGAGGAATATTTCAATTTAAATCTCCCTTGAATATGGATTGTACTATTCCAAAGTTTTCAGAACTACTTGAAAGTTCCCAAATTTTTCCTGAAGTTAATTATACTGTCTTGAAGAACTTTTGTAGTTTGAAAAACTAGCCTGAGCCTTACAATACTTCTCATCAAATTCTTAAACTTCCCTGAACTTTTTAGGACTTCCTAAAGTTTCCTATTTTTTTTCTCCTGCATCTCAAAGGTTTAACAATTCGCTGAAGTTCTCTAAACTTCTAAAACATTTATGTGACTTCTCTTATGCAGGGCTGTTACAAGATTTTCGGCTGATTTCGAGTTGCCGATAATAGAACAGCTGGTTAACAGGCAGTTCAAATGGAAAGGGTGCCGAAGAAAAAGAGACTGCCGACAATAGTCACACTCACCTGAGAAGTTTGGGG